TTTATTGATTATTGATTGATGCCTTCAACTCTTTTGTACCTTATTTATTCTTCAACATATTGATAATCTTCATATTTTCTATCATCTCTCTCAGATCTACCCTCTACATTTCCAGAACTCAAACTGACATCTGTCAAAAATCTTTTAGCACTTTTTGGCACCTTAATCCTATCACCAATAAAGCATCCCCACTTGGCAGCGTTCACAGAATTATCGTGATAAGTACCCATAAGAATTCTACTACAATTTGAAGTAGAAACTCCCTCAGCATTCATAGTATAATTAAAAAAGGCAAAATATCTGAAATTTGAAAAACGAATTTCCATTCCTTGATTCCAAATTAAGGTCCATTTTCCTTTTTGGACAACTTTACTGTTTTTCTTAAGAAGAGCAATATCTGGAACTTTTAATGCAACATTGAATGTTTCAATTGGGGACTCCTGTGGGAGATTGGCTTTATCAATGCTGCATTGATTGTAAATAACTTGATTATCATAGATTGGTTTAGTTTTTTTGGAATGACCATTCACCGTAGACGTTTGGAAATTCGCAACTCACTGGAACGTCAGCTTTGGTGAAGAGAATAAGAGATGCCAATAGAGTGGCTAGCGTTAGAAAAAAGAAGGGCTTGCCAATTGTTTGCATTTTTTTTAGTTGACCGGAGATTGGACGAAACCTTTAGAAAGCTCAAAAAGCTCGCGAGCTAGAAGGTTTACAAAAAACAAAATTACTGAAATACATTCTTTACAATATCTTGCCCAACTCTAACAACCAATTTTTTAATATTTTATATTCGTCATCCTGGATAAGATCAATTCATTATTCAACACGATTATTGAAAATTCAATATTTTTTTAACTTAATTTTAGACTTTATTATCTTTTTTATTTTTAGAATTTTATCAAAAAAATTGCCTTCAAATCGGAGCGATACTCTTTGTCAAAGCATCAACAACAAATAATAATCAACCATCATCATCTCCAACATCATGGCAAGTGCACCTTCACTCTATAAAAACTTTCAACTCGTGGATTGTTTCGATTATTTAAATTATGGTACCATTTACAAGTATAGATCCATCAAGACGGGCATGTTGATTACATTGGCCAAAATTCAATCACCAATTATGAAGGCCTATTTAACAGTGAGAACAAGACCTGCCGATCATGATGGTATTCCTCATGTTTTGGAACATTTAATTTTCATGGGAAGTGAAGAATATCCATACAAGGGTATCTTGGATAAGGTTGCAAATAGATGCTTTGCTCAAGGTACAAATGCATATACTCAAAATACTAATACAACCTATGAATTGACAACAGCAGGAAAGGAAGGATTTTACAGATTATTACCAGTTTATTTGGATCATATTTTATATCCTACATTGAGTGATAATGCTTTCATCACTGAAATTCATCACATTGATGGATCTGGTCAGAATAGTGGTGTCG